ATGCTGCAAACTTTAAGATTGCTGCACCTCCATCTTTATACCACAATTTTCTCCCACTTCAAACATTTGTTAAGCTATCTGTTTATTAAACAAAAACAAACAATAAAACTTTATCATAAAAAATAATGTTTTTTTTTTTTTACTTTTCGGTTCTCCTGCAAGTCGTGCTCAAGATTGCCATACTATATGCTACCTGCCCCTCTTAATTTTTTGTTTTTAATATGTTATAATTAATGTTAATTTTGGAATAAATAGATTTAAATTGATCGGTTAGCTTTCCATATTTATTTCTGTCATGAGCATTGTTCTGGTCTGGAAAAATAAAATTTTGAAGTGCATACTTTTGTAATAAAGTTAATAAAATCTGTTAATAAACTAAATGGTTAATTACTTCATAACTAACTAATAAATATAAATGTAATTATCAATCAGATTGAAGGAGGTAATTGAATTTTCTGTATCAAATAAATTTTTTTTAAATTAAGAAAACAATTTTTTTTATAACTGCTCATTAAGTGATTAGGACATTAATAGGATTTTAACAAAGCCAGACAACAAAAAATGTATTATATCATATCAAAGAAAATACAGATATGTAATGAAATAATTAACTATGTAGTAAAAATTGAACACCTAAGTAATAAATTATTTAAAAGAAAACCTAAAAGTTGATTTCATTAATTAAGATTATTAGTTTTGGTATAGATTTTTAAATTTGCTTGTTTCTTGAATTAAAAAAGTTTTGTTCTATATATTGAAAGAAATATACTCTGCCATTAATATAATAATTTTGATTTTTTATCATTTTTAAGGATTATTTGTAGTTGTGGATCAATCAATGGTGAAGTCCGCAATAAAAACAACGGAAATTGCAAAAATACAGAATTTTAGTTTAAATTCCGTTTTTCACAATTTCTTCCTTGTAATGCTAATGTTACCTAAATTTTCACTAATATCTGTCAAGTGAAGAATCGTATGATACGTATTAAAAGTATAATAACTTTTTGTTTACTTATTCTGATCAGTCATGAAATTCCTGGTTTTTGCAGTTTGAACCAAGAACACTGATTACTATGCCATATGAAGATAGTTTACCAACTATCTTCATATTTGGTATTAACTTAAATGAAATGTCTGATAACATTGCTAGAAAATATAAACTTACCGTTCCATTTTTATTTTGAAAATTTCAGTTGTCATTTCTCTAACAATAAATAATCATTATAACAACTAGAAATGAATCACCTGTCATTTCTAATTTATTATTCATGCGGCTATATACTTATAAATTTTAATTACAAAAATATTTGATAGCTTAGTCAAATATAACAACATTTGTAAAGTGATTCCACAGTCAAAAACCTAAAATTATGATGGATATAAGTGAAACTTCTAAGCTAACCTCCCTTAAATGGTCTCTCTTATAGCTCATCTATGAAGTACATATAATCAATTGCATTTAAAGCGTTCTTATTTTTCAAATGGCTTGGATAAGCTTTATTTTCAGGTAGTTTTTTTTTTTTTATTATGAGGAACTCGAAGTAACTGGTAATGGGCCTAGATGCATGTGGTATTCTATAAATATTATTAATAAATCATAAAATACTGTTTTGGTTTCAATCCTACATCAACTTTGTAATTCCCTCATTGCTCAGGCGGATCTACAGAGTGGACTTTTGGGCTGAAGTCCCCTCTCAAAATGGAAAAATATAAATGTCTATAAAAAAAATATAATATTTTAATATAAATAAGATAACCTTTAGACTGGTTAAGTACAGTAAGTCATACACTGATCTCTTAATTTTACTTTGTAGTTAATAAAACAAATAAAGAACATGTTTTAAAAAATAAATTATACAGAATTACTTGTTAAAATATTTTTTAACCATATACAAATTTCACTTAAGACTGAGAAAATAATAATTTGTATTTGATAGACATCAAACAAAAAATAAAAAATTAATTTAAGTATATTGGTTGTTTATTAAAACATTCATCAATATAAACCAACTGTAAGTCTTCATATTAAGTATTTGGACAGGTCATTTATTAATTTTTACAATAAATAATAAATATATAGCAATACAATAAATAGCGCTTCTGTATCAAAAGATTTTTACACGGAACTTTAAAAAAAAATTAATAAGACTAGAATTCTAATTCTAAGTGTTTTCATTGTTTCATAATCTATGCAGTCAACTTTAAGTTTTTCAGATACAAATTGAACATCCCACTTTATAGTCACTGTATGAAAAAAAATTATTTTCTTTATTCTCTTAGACAAATAAAAACAAAATGTTTAATAATCGTGTTTTAATTAATGAATTCTGAGAATATTATTTTCTACAAATATGAAGCTAAGACAATGAGGCAGTAGCGAATCAAGGATTTAATTTTGGAAGAAAGGCATCAGTCGGAAAGCTTTTTTTTATACGTATAATAAAAATTACTTCAGAAGAAAACAAAAAAACTGACTCTATAAGAAAAGATGTTTAAGTGATTCTTAAAGTCCTATTAAAATATCATTACATGAGTAATAATACTTTTAGGGACAATTTTTTAATATTTTTTTTTACCTGTCCAAATACTTAATATGAAGACTTACAGTTGGTTTATATTGATGAATGTTTTAATAAACAACCAATATACTTAAATTAATTTTTTATTTTTTGTTTGATGTCTATCAAATACAAATTATTATTTTCTCAGTCTTAAGTGAAATTTGTATATGGTTAAAAAATATTTTAACAAGTAATTCTGTATAATTTATTTTTTAAAACATGTTCTTTATTTGTTTTATTAACTACAAAGTAAAATTAAGAGATCAGTGTATGACTTACTGTACTTAACCAGTCTAAAGGTTATCTTATTTATATTTAAAAACCCCTACAACTGAGCTCAAAACTAGAACATTTAAGGACTTGCAATGTATTCAAGTTTTATTATAAGCTATGTTCATCTGTTTGAAATTGCAAACTCAGTACAAATTATTTTTCCTGCTGTGATTTACTTTCTAAACAACAAATACATAATTTTATCTTTTAGCACTATGTATATTAAAAATTCAGCTTTCCGTATTGTATATTTTTAAATCTAACAACATTCCTGCAAAATTTAATGACCGTTTATTATTTAATCATTTACCATTTATGAACAATAATAGTATTGATTGTTCATTCTAGAAAATTCAACGAATTATTAAATAACATTTCTCCTGGTCCTGTTTAGATAATTAAGATTCCCTTTTTGGTGAATCTGGTTTTATTGAACTTAGAAAAGAAATTTTCATAAAACGTGTTTCACTGAGTACCGCTATTATTTTTCTGAAATATTTCAAATGTTGAAAAAAATTTAATTATATGATCTCACTTTTGAATTTTCTTAAGTTATTGTATCTGTTTTATAATTGTTTGAAGAGGCCTCTATTGTCGTAAAAAAAAACAAAAAAAACAATTCATAATGAGTGAATGTATTATTTCTTTTCCTACTTTTAAATTATCAATGAAAGTTTTAGTTATAATATGAAAACACAATCGATTGGGTTAATGTATGTGTTAAAGTGTTCTTTGCATTCTTAATACCAATATAAATGACCTACTGTTGGCTCATAATTTTTGGGTTAAAATATAGGTGTGATATGGTAATTATATAGTTTTATTGAGGGGCATCGTTTATTCAGGAAATATGCAAATATAATGTGTACTGACTCTTGATTTGCCTGAAATCTAATATGTATGCATGCTCTTGTTACTTTAAAAATGTTTTTCCGCTCTATTTTGAATTATTTTTCTTTTAAATTGGTATGAAAGCATGTTATGCTCCATTTAATAATTTTTTTCTTTTATTTTAGTAATTTAATATTCCTTCAATTTATTTAAAAATTCATTTTATTTATAGAAATCATTTCTTTTACTAAAAATATTTAATATTCTTAAAGTAATATTTTTCTTCTTGACTACTTTGGTCTTATATTTAATTTAATTTTTACAGCTGTTTTGAACAATGAAATTATTTTTGAAGTTCTTAATTAATTTCATTAATATTTTATTTGAATTAAATTTCTGAATTTAGTATTTTAACTAAAAGCTTCAACACTAGAATATTGAAAAAACAAAAATTGTTTCTGAAATATGTTACTTATACATACATTGTTAAATGGACATTTTATACTTAAATAAAAATTTGTTATACTAGCACTAATTATTGCCACTTGTTAAATGAACTACATTTCTGGTGTAACTTCAAAGTTTAATTAATTTTCATCCAAAGAATTTTACAAAACCTTTGTGTAGATTGTGCCTGCAAATTAAATTAATTTGATTAAAACATTAAACTAATTCAATATAGTCTGACCCTCCTTCACACCAATTTTTCCCAGAAATAAATTTATCAAAAACTTACATTAAACATGTTAGTTGGTTAATGTAGCTTTCTTCATCTAAAAATTTATATAGATGTATATTATAAAACTTTTGAAAGAGTGTAAATCTAATAATAATTTAAAACAAAAGAATACTATTATAAGCAGAACCAATGCAGTTCTGCATCCCCTCCCTAACTTAAGTCTCAGCATTATTTGGTCATTTCACTGGCCTTGAAAGAATTTAAGGAACCGAAACTCAGAAACCTCTTTGATTTAAAAATTAATAATAATTTTTTTTTTTTTTACTTACCTGAATAGGTTTAAAAAGTAAATGTCAATAAATATAACAAAAACCAACACAGCTTTCATAGAAATCTAGTTTATTGTTAAAATAAAAATGCCCTTTTTAGGTTGCAATCAATATTTACACTTTATATATGTTCACATTTATATATATATATATATATATATTTATTTATATAGCAAGAAAATCTTAAAATTTTTTAAGTCTGCAGATTTCCAAGCACTTTTATACACAATATAAACAATAATGATATACTTAATTCAATAAATTAATATTAACAAATATAATTTATTATACAGTGAAAACTTAAAAAACAAAAACAAAATTAAAGGTTCATGTCACATTGTCTGATTCCATTTTAATGTCCGTTTCAGAATTAATATCACCATTCATCTGTTGATATGGCATGTCAACCTCGGTTTCACTGTCCGACATTTCACTAGATTCCGATGAACTAGAACTATCACTTTCAGAATCTGCTGAACTTTCTGGGGTCAATTTTCTTGTTTGCTGCCGAAGCTTTTCGTTCTCATGGAGAAGTTGTTCATTGGCCTTAAGAAGTTTGCATATTTCTGATTGAAAATGGTTTTCTTTTTCATTTGAGGTATTATTTTCAGTCACATTTTCATCACTGTTGTTCCTACCACCTAACCTCTTTTCAAGGGAGTCAATTTTTTCTTCAAGTTGTAAAACAGTTTGAATCAAGTCTGACTTAGACATAGCTGCTAAGCTTTCCACATGCAGATCTTGATAGGTGTTGGAGAATTCTTTTGTAAGAAATTCCTCTTCGTCTTCCGGTGATGAATAAAATTCTTGATCAGATTCAGCACTGGTAAAACTAGCATCCCTAACACGACCCGTCCTTTGTGTTTCTGCTTCAGGATTATCAGCCCTATTTGCTGCAGAAACAGCCATAAGTTTAACATCAAAATCTTGCAAGTCGTTATGGTCTTCTATAAGAAATTGATTTGAATTATATGGAGCCACTGGTTGTTTGTAACTGCGAGGTTTAATACTTTTCTTACCTCTGACCTCCATGGATTTGCTGTATGGTGCTTTTCTCTTCGTTTTTCTCCGCCTGGTTTTTCGCTTTTTGTCCAACTGTTCAATAACGCGACTCACGTCCCTGGTGGCAATCTCGGTCTCTAACTTTATCTGCTCCTCGCTAGGGGCGCTGACGTCGGCAACACTCCTCGACGTCCGACATTTTATCTCTCCAACGGCCATGTTATTCCTCACTTTACTTTCAACTTTTTCAGACATTTTAAGCACATATGTCACAAAAATCTGATGCAAATGTTAAAGATACACTAAAACACAATGTATAAAGTCACATAATAAAACAAAAATAACAGTGAAATACGTAAAAGGCAGCTCCACCTCAGGGCTGTCTGTACTGCTAGACTGTTCTAACAGGAATGAGAGCTTTTGTATATCTCCGCTTCAAACTGGCGGCGCTTTATGTCGTGCCTATAGAAATACTTAACCTGCATTATTTGCTTTAATATTTACTAGACTTATTGGAAATATGTGTTGCTCTTTATATATAATGTACTATTTTCTCATAGAAACAACATGAATCATGGCATTAAAAACAAAATTTTAAAACAATTAAAAGTAATTTCTTGAAGTGCCAGATGGCTTTTTAGTTGGTTAGAATTCATTTAGGCAAATGTTTTTAATTTCTATTTCTACAGTGATTAATATTTTGATTAAGAAGATACTTTAATAGCTCTGCATTATTGTTAATTTAAAGTCTAATGTTGCTTTTGAATTTACTGATGTGACTAGTATTCATATGGTTACTTATCTGTTTAATCAAATACACAATTTTTTAAAAATTAATTAAACAAATTGAAAACATGAGTTGGTGAATTTTTAATAAATTAACAATTTAAGTTTTTTAAATTTTTAATTGTTTAGAATCATAATCTATTCAATGCACTAAGAATTCATGGGATTAATAAAAACAACTTGAACATTACCAGGTGAAGACATATAACACCTTCAATCGTTAAAAACACTTTTAAAAAAAGGTTTTGATAATCGTTTTGCTTGGTATCAATTAATGTAATTTATGGGCTGTATTTATTTAAACATCATCTATTAATTAACCTAATATTTTTTTAAATAATTTTAACGCCTTATTATAAGGCAAACACGTACTATTTCAACTATGTTGAAATTTATTCCTTATCAATGAACAATATCCTAATAAATCTGCAAACATTTAAACACCTCTTAGTTGTAATAATGTACTTCATGCTTTCCAAGTTTTGTTTATATGATACTTGTTTAGTTATTCATTTTAAATACTGGATTACGGCTGTGGGTATGGTTGTTTCAATTCAAATTCATTATGAGAAATAGTTTGAATTTGAATAGACACAACCATATCGAGAGCCGTAATGGAGTATTGAGCATGAATAACAAGACAGTTATTGAATAAACAAAACTTAAGGAATGAACTATATTATATTATGACTATTCATTTTCTATGTACTACATGTTCTATGGACTATTCATGTGAAGTATTACCAAGGGGTCGCAATGGAAAAGCTGCTGCCAGGTAGCTGGAAAACAATTGAAATTAAATAAATTGCGCCGTTCATACTCCCCAACTATTTTTCAAAAGCAAATAATGTTCTTTTGAATGTTACTATAACTGATTGCATTACGTTATGGCCACTCTTCTCGCTACACGAAAGAAATTAAATTTAGAAAATTTCCCCTTTTCAGACTAATTTTACGATACGCCCTTGTTATTATTATTACATTTTAGTTATGAGCAATAGATGTATTATTAATTATGTTGTATGTCATGTAATTTTTTATTACTATTAATATGATTAATTACGCATCACAAAACTTTCACTTACTGCTCTACTTTGAATAGAAATTATTTTCCGTCAATTTATGGCTATTACAAAAACTTCGAAGTGCATTTTTAACGATGCTAAAGCTTAAAGCGTATAGCTAAAAAAATATTAAAATAACAAAAACTGTATTCATTATAATAGTTTTAGTTATATTATGAAAACACAATTGACTAGGTTAATGTATATGTTAAACTGTTCGTTGCATAATTAATACCAATATAAATGACCAACTGTTGACTCATAATTTTTGGGTTAAAATATAGGTGTGATATGGTAATTATATAGTTTTATTGAGGGGCATCGTTTATTCAGTAAATATGCAAATATAATGTGTACTGACTCTTGATTTGCCTGAAATCTAATATGTATGCATGCTCTTGTTACTTTAAAAATGTTTTCCGCTCTATTTTGAATTATTTTTCTTTTAAATTAGTATGAAAGCATGTTATGCTCCATTTATTAATTTTTATCTTCTATTTTAGTAAATTAACATTTCTTCAATAAAATTTATTTTATTTAGAGAAATCATTTCTTTTATTAAATTTATTCTTAAAGTATTATTTTTTCTAAAATGAATTTTAAGTTTGTTCAGCCTTTGAATAGAAAGTATTTTCCGGCAATTTATGGCTGTTACAAAAATTTTGTTAAAAAAGCTTGAAAATCATTAAAATAACAAAAACTCTATTCATTATATCGACGGTAGGCAATAAAAACCATAGATGTCCAAAAGGGAGTTTGATGGCGCAAGTTGCGCCATCAATATTTTTGAGGGAAGCATATTTTGGCGGGTTTTTCAATTTTTGAGGGGGCCACATGACATCCGGGTTATGAATTTTCGGAATGAAAACTTCCATACTAAGGATCAAGGAGAAAACTTGGAACAGACCGCAGTAGGTATAATTGTATATGATCCACGATTTTTTAAATTCTACTTTCGCTTGCTCTGTTTTTAAGAAAAGATGAGGAATAAAATCTCTTGAGAGTGGGAGGAATAGGTTCTTGTGCTATCGACCTTCGGAGAGGAGGATGGGCACCCCTGATAATTGATATATGCAACTATAATAATTTAAGTGGCATATGCCGCATTATGCCTTTCGTACAAGAAGGCATAAAGAGAATTTATATTCTCCACGTGGAGCTAGCTCTGTTGAATAGCATGGGTGAGGCAAAAGATCCCATCCAAGGCTCAATAATTTATTGCGGGTGACTGATGAGGTGTTTGGCCCTAGCGTTGTCTTGGTGGAATACAACACCCTTCCGATCATTCCTATCTTTTCAGGATATCCTCCAAATTCGATACTATATCTATATCCATTGGAATGCTGAATTATTGCTCTTCAAAGCCGTATGAATGATTTTTTGACTTAATGCCTACATAAGGAATAAATAAACAAAAACTTATAGGTTTTCTACGCTTGTGTGCGACACATTTAGGGCCAAAGCTACTAACGAATCCAAGATTTAATTTTGGGGTGCTTCAGCCCTAAAGATTTTTTTTTGTATGCATATATTACGGTAATCATTTGAGAAAAAATAAAGAAAATAATTACCTACATGAAATGGTATTTAAGTCCTATTAAATATAATTAGACGAACAATAATACTTTTAGAGACAATTCTTTTCATAAAACAGGGTTATATTTTACCATTTCGGGGAGGGGGAGGGGGAGGGGCTTCAACGCGAAACTCCCCTCTCCCTCATAGATCTGCCTGTGTCTATAGCAGTCTCTCGCACTGATTGAGTGGGAATTTGATCAACAATGGTCATAACATTGCTCGTTTCAATTTGATGAGTCAAAATTTCTTTAATGAAATATGGCAAACAAATTTTGACAGGTGCGTTCGGTTAAGACACCATCCAAATAAACACTGCAAATTTTTCTATGAGCTTCTGCAGCACGCTTATGTTATTTTAAATAATACAACAAAATGTCGATAATGAATAATATTTTCTTCTATATTCACAGTGCTATAGCAAACACAATACTAAGCTAGTTTCAACAAGAGTTAACAGATGTATTTGTTGACATATTACAAACAGGATAAACAATCCACCTTAGGGATTAATTCGTCAGATAAGAAGTGACATACAAATAAAAAGGAAACACCGAAAGGGAATTTGCCAACACACTGCATAAATAAGTTTTTTTGGTTTATTATTTTTGTTTTTAAAATTACTTTTTATTAAATAACTTTATTATATTTTTATTTATGTTTTTTTTTTAGTATTAAAATAAATGTTTCTGGTACAAAAATTTAGGTTTAAAATAAACAAACTTGCAGATTCCTTCAAATATTTCATGAATAAATTTTCACGTAAATTTTAGGACTAGAAAAATTAAGTTTGTCATTCTTAAATATGGGTCGATTCCTATGAATTAGTAGAAAAACATTGTTGCATAACCTCTTTACATGAAAAATATTTGAACACTCTTCATTATGTTCAAGTTTCTTGTTTTTATGTAAATAAAAAATGTAATTAGGTAATTATGTTCATTACAAAACATCACGGATCTTGGAAAAACAAGTAATAAAATCATTGAAACATTTCACTATAGTCATTTTTGCCCAATACACTTATACTTTTAAGTGACAGCATAAAAAATCACATCATTTGTTTACACAACCATGAGATGAAATCTCAAGAATATATCTAATAAATAAAACTTAATTAATATGGACTCAAAGCTTTTAAGCGAGGAAGTTTTTCTAAAAGTGAGGTATTAATACTATAGATGGATATGACAAAAAATAAATAAATAAATAATCGAGAATAATTTATAATTTTTTTACAAACAGAACTTAGCTTAGTCTCTATAAAGTCCTCTTGAAAGGGTTCCAACAATGATAAACTCTATTTTCATTAAAATTAAACTTTGTCTAGTTTACAGTGAAATAATTGTTAATTACTTAAATTAAATATGTCTTTATTTACCGCTTCCTATTCAATAAAAAACATGAAACCTAAAAATAAAAACTTGGATTTTCTACTTCACTTCTGAAAACTGGTCCATTGTAAATATGAACTTTTTTTGTAGCTCTTGAGATCTGCTAAAAAAAATTCTATAAAAATTTCCTTTATTTACGGAACACCCTTTATATTTTTTCTCTCTTTTTTTTTTTTCGAAAATGTGTGTTCAACCTGGAAAAGCTATCTTTTTTTCCCTTTAGTTAAATCATCAATTTTTTTCAATTTGAATTAGAAAAGTTAAGCTTTAATTAAGGGGATTAATTAATTTAAAATGATAATCATGCATATGAAGGATATAATTTATAATGCATTTTCTTAATTTATTATTTTAAATTTTAAAATTAATGTTATGCTAAGGATAAAACACGCTCAGAAATATTCAACAAGCTACTTAAAATAAATTGCATTATATC